TGACCGACTTGGCTCTGATACCAATTGTTGAATAAGAAGAGTATCCAAGATAACTCTAATGATCCCAAGAAGAAGAAAATAGAACACACTCTTAAAGAAAGCTCACAAAACAAACTAGTTAGCAAAGCTTTTCTTATTTAGCTCTAGGCTTTGTATTTCCTTGGATGATTTACAATGCTTGAGAACTTGGGTATTTATAGCAAACCAAATGAATAAACTAAGATTATTTATTACCACACAAAACACATTAATTTCACCTAATTTATTTTTATTCAACCATGCCTAACATTGCCTAATTTTCCATACCTAACTTTGACATTGATTTTCAACATCTTTGACATTGATTTTCAACACAACCCTTGTCTATTTAACTAAATAAACTATTCAATGTTGTATTAATTATAACTTAATAGCGTGTCACATAGAGTTTTGAATGAGGAACCAATAGTATGACCATAAAAAATAATTAATACCTGATATTTGTATCTGTACAGCTTTACTGCAGCTGCATGAGCAAGGAGGAAGTTGTGTGCCACCAAATATGGTTCAGTACCAGAATCTCCACCAGTACAGTTTCGCTCCATCCAAGCTGAACATCTTCCTGGTGCGAAAGCTCCTTCTGCATAAGCATTAACTGCATAGGTCCATGGCTCGTTCAATGTCATCCAATGCTTCACTCGGTCACCAAATGCCTTATAACAAATTTCAGCGAAATCTCGAAAATGATTGCTGCATTTTGGAAGATTTAAAATCAATTATTTTGTGCTGATTTTGAAGCTTATGCATTAATTATAGCAGTACGCATTTAAATAAACGATCATTATGCAGAGGATATAAGCGTTCACTCACACAATTTTTGGGCTTAAGAAACCCCTGTATTCTTCTTCTAACACTTGGGGAAGATCCCAATGGAAGATTGTCACGAATGGCTTTAGACCTATATATAACATGACCTTTAAAAGTAAAAAATTCGGTTATAAGGTATTCATATTAGATATTTTGTAACGTGGGAGGACATATGATACTGGGCAGCTATATCACCTCTGCTTAGGAGTGCATTGATGAGATTATTGTAGTATTTGATTCCTTCTTGGTTCACACCCCCACTTAACTTTCCATCTAATTGTAATCAGAAGAAACAAATAATCAAATTCCTTCAAAGGGCGTAAAACAGGACAGTCTCATGTAACAAAAAGAAAAGATAATAATTGAAAGAATGTTGTCTGCAATATATTGAGGATTTGTTGGAAACAATACGTGAACGTGGAGTACAACCACCCACTTACTTGGTAATACTCTGGACCATGAGATAGATAACCTATAAGCATCCAACCCCATATTCTTCATAATCCCTACATCTTCCTACATATGATAACACAAAAGATACTATAAGAATAAATCTCATCTGCGAATTAAGTCCTGGATTTTCTTATGGTCGCAAACTTTAGTCTCCCGATGTGCTTATTGAATCAAGATTTAAGAAGGTATGGAGAATAACTTTGATGTGATTTTTGAACCTTATAACGGTGATATTGATCAGCAGCTACATCTCCGGTGGTGCTACCATTGATCCTTTCTGCATTTAACCAAAGAAATTTTTATTTTTTAGAGAAAGATGATCGCAGAAATTAGTATACTTATGTGTGTGTACTGCAACTCACAATTTATTCATCTATAAGGAAAAATCGCTTCTTTTATATGTGTTAGAAAATTTCTGCACCGGACCAGGTTCAGTTAAATATCAACTGAAATAAATAAACATGCAACTTGTAATTGTTGTTAGGTAACAACACAATGAAGTCGCCGTTTTTGTTTATAAAAAATAGATTGAACTACAAATGTATAAAGAGGATGTGTTAATTATCACACACACACATATATATTATGTTTGAACTTTCAGTCGGTTTCTTTTTTCCTCATTTTTTATAGCCGGAAATACAGGTATCCCGTCAGGGCAGAAAAAGAAAACGACCAAAGAAATTTTACTTGATTGCACCCTGGCCATGATGAATGTCCACGAGGCTATTTTATTACACTTATATAAAGCAGAAAAAGTCAAGAATAACTAAATTTCATGAAGTCGACACTAGCACTACAATCTAAAGGTAATTTTCTTCACTTTGTAAATGAGAGATTTAAGTTCCACTGTCAAAAAAGACGAATTCAATAACTAATTACAGTTGGCGCACTATGTGACTTAACCAAAATATCCAATTACAATGCATCGTTGTATAAACAGAATTTCATGAAGTGGTTCCAAATGAAAGATTACGCTTCGTTTTGAAAGATAAAAAAGGTATGCCTGCAGCAGGCCGGCGAAGAGATAAATTAAATTTGGCTTAATTGGAGAAACCTATAGAACAAAAGAACGACACCAGAGATTTAGAAAAAGTTATTTAAAAAAGAAACAATGTGGTTTTGGTTGCAGACGTGGGCGTGACCACATTAGCTAGAGCAAAATTTGTGCTCCCCCTCATGCATCCTAGTCCAAATCTCCTTCTTTGGCATTTAAATTGGTTAAAAGTAAAATGTCGCTGGTGTAGAAAACATGTAATTTGATTCGGGATGCATCTGTGGAGGTACCTGGATACTGATGGGTGTAGTTATCCCAAATGCTTGGTTTTCTACCACCTTGATTCCATGCACCTTCATACTGTAGTACACAATAATGACATATATGTTAAAGATGCTAATTGGTGATCTGGCATTACAAGAAATCATAAAACACAGAAAAAAGGCATATGACTGACTTGGTAAGCTGATGAAGCTGAGCCAAATATGAACCCTTTAGGAAAACTGGTCCTGTTGAGGTTGGTAGTGCTATAACGACTAGGTATAACGGGAGATTTTTTAGCGTTTGTCAATGCAATGCCAAATATAAATAGCACAGCCAACAGCAAAGAATCCAGTTTCATTGCCAAAAATAAGGGTTTCAGGTGATCCAGACTGGTTTTTGCTCTTCTTGGCATGGCGTTTATATAAAGGGAGTACACTTGAGAAAAACAAATGAAGGATGATATTGAACCAGAAAACGTGGGAGGAGACGTATAATAATATATGATAACTGCTATTAGTCTTCGCCAATTTAGGTAAGTTTTCAATATAAGACTATGTATTACGGGAAGTTACAAAGTGAAGGCACGCCAACATTCAAAAGTCAATTAATCGTTTATTGACACTAATTAATAACTGTAATCTGATGTGAGAAGAGTATCAATATATCCCACGTCATAATTAATTTTGTGTAATATATATAATATATAATTAATGGCTAGTATGGGATTGCTCGAGTAAGAAACATTTTTGTTCATAAGTGATTTTAATAGAAACATAACAGACTGTCTATTAAAAATATTTATTAACAACTCCTAAAAGAACATGATAGTTGCTTTTTAGAAAGCACTTTTGGTTGTTTTTTGCCAAGTAATGTCATCCGTACTTCTAGCTATCGGAAAAGTACCTTGGTCATTCGAAAAACACTTCTAAACTGAGCTAATTAGGTAAGAGGGGAAAATGAGAGGTGGGTGTGTATATGTGGGGTAAAAGTCTATTTTTAAGGTTCTGAAAAGTGAACGATATACATACAACTTTCTCTTCTTGATTTGAAATAGTCTTCAGCTACTTGAATTTTTTAATAAGGAAAAAAATTGCCATGGGACTTGTCTGGATCGCATGTTTATCTTCCTTTTGTTCCGGAAGGCGTATGATTTTTTTCTTACGTTAAATATCTCAGGATAAGCATTCCATGGTAGTATGAGAAAGGTCTAATTCACATTCTTCCTTCCTCCAAACCAATTGAAGAATTCCACTTTGAAATTTTCTTCTTGTTATATCCTAACAATTTTACCTTGAATCTGCGCCTCTAATTTGAATTGCATATGTAGCTTACAAGTTATGAAATTTTGTGTATATACAAACACTAACCATTGTATCGGAACTATATAAACGAAAGTGGCCACCGTGTTGATTAAAATGTGAGCATAAAACTCCAAATTAAGTTTGGAGACGAGGGAATATCCTTCTCCACACACCTTCACATGTGATCTCTTTCTACTTAACACTTATTCAACTTGAATTTCGATGTTGTGTGAGGTTAAAATTCGAATAACACATATCTTAGAATTTGAGTGCTCAACCTAAAATCTAAGGCCCGAGATATTTCAAACAATAACAAAAATTTTGATTCAATATACTATACAACAACATAGACTTATCTCATTAAGTGGGGTTGACTATATAAATTTTATAACGTCATTGCACTCGGTTTCATTTAGGATTTGTTATATAGAGATTTGACGTGAAAACGGAATGTCAGCTGTCGACTACCTAACACCCTTTCTCTCCTCCTTTATCTATATTTGAGACCGCCAACAGAGTATAAAATTACACAGATGAAGTTTTTATTAAATGTAATACATATGGAATACATCACATGATATCTTTTATGTTCTTTTAGAATCTCCACAATGCATATAAAATGACACGAGGAGCAAACGTACAACCGCACAAGGAGTATTTTTGCTAATCACTATTTAGTGTGGTCTATGCTCACCACTTTATTTATCATTTTTAGATAAGTTTGAATTTCGAGATTCGTGTAGTGGATAGGCACAAATTTCAAAATCTAGACTCGTCTAACAGTGATAAATAAAATGATGAGCATATACCACACTAAATGGTGGTGAACAAAAATGCCGTCTTTAATTTGTTTTTGTGCCAACTAGTCACTAAATTAAGCCTACTTTGACACTGGCTCCCTGTACGTCAAGACCAATTGCCCGCCAAACGAACTCTCAGTTTCCATGCATGGCTAGAGAGCCGCAGAACAGCACTAGACCAACCTCATTTAGAATGCCCCTCAAAAGTTACTCACACAACATAGAAACAAAGAGAGACTAGAACCTTCTTCGACTGATTTAAGTCGAAAAAAGTAGCGGAATTAGCCAAGAAAACCAAGGGTTTAGGAGCAAATCCTAGCCGCAAAACACTGTCCTTGTAATAGACGAGAGGCAACTGGTCAATAAAAGCCCACCCAATACAATGATGCTTATCTAAAGTTCATATTTTGAGGACATGTGAGAACCTCTTTTACCTCTTTTACTGTTTTATCTTGTGATACTATTACGATGGTTCTATGACTTGCAAGGTTGTTATCTTTTTTATTAGTTAAATATGGGTTTCTGTGGTGGTTGAGAAATTGTATTGTATTCACTATGAGTTTGTAATTAGGAATTTGTGTTGTGTTTTTTTGGCTTGTTTGACTTCTTGGTTACGTTCGATATGTCTGTTCTATGTACGTTTTTGATGGTTTTTCTTAACAAATCTTTTTTACTTTAAAAAGGACACAAGGCTAAGTATTAGTTAACTTGATTAGCACTGGCTTCATTTTTTTTTTTTTTTCAAGAGCCCTGGCTTCATTTATGAACAAAGTGTTATAGTAATTTAATTAGCATGCCGAACTTAGTTAAGTTGGTAACAATGCTGGATGGAACGTTGTATGTGAGACCATTGTACAACACATTCAAAAAACATGCAAACAACATACAAAACACATGAAATAAACGGCAATCCCTTTCAATAAATTTAGCAAAGAAGTCCCAGTGAATATTTGGGAATTCTAAACTCAGTCAGCACAAGGCTAAATATTATTAACTTAATTAGCATGTGGCTTCATTTATATACGAAGTGTGAATTACACACTTTCAGAGCTTTATTTTTCTCATATTCTAATTTTTTTTATAAGTCGTCTTCTAATTTTGTTCAGATCTCATGTGGAGGAATGCTAGCTCCTTCCTTACCCTTTTTTTTTTTTTTTTTTTTTCCAGATCCTACGATATTACTTGATGATCCAACCTATTTATTTTCTAAGTTACTTTGTAAAAGTCATTCTACAAAACACTACAGTAAATCCAAATTTATTTAGTCATCAAACTTGTGATCCAACAATAGACGAATTATGACTTCAATTAATGAAATTATGACACTATTAATCGAATAGTCAAACGATTTTTTTTTTTTTTTTTGGGTAGAGTTCATCTTTGTGGGTAGTCTACAAATTAACTATTTCGATCATCAAACAACATTGTACTTTAACAAAGGTATAGAAGAAATTAAAAAAAGAAGGTAAAAATGAAAAGAGATATAGCATTCCTCATGTAATACTTATAAATTTGTTTTTAAGATATAATAAATTAGCTTGGTCTTTTCTTTTGGGTAGGAATCGTTCTAGGTGGCTTATAACAATTTTTTTTTTTTTTGAAACAACTGGCTTGTAAGCTTAAAACACTGAGAAAAATAAAAGATAGTGTTATTCAGACACTTGTTTTTACTTCTTACACACCCTTACTAATTTTAGATCATATTGATCTTTCTTCAAATCATTCGAGACTGAAAACTAAGAAGAGTGTGAGAAGTAAAATTGACTGTGTGGATAATACTACCCAAAATAAAAATTTGAGCTTACCCAAAATTCAGAAACTTACTCAGCTTGGAGAAAAGAAATTAAAATATGAGCATATCAGCCAGGATAGTACTACGTACTACCATGTGATATGAGCAACCCACTAATAGAAAATGTTATAAGTATTCCCCATGGTCTTCCTCAGTTTAATTAATGAAATCTATCTTCTTTTTTTGTTGGAAAACGAAATTTATCTTCGAACGTGTTTACTGGATATTACGTACTATTAAAGACAAAGTCAGCTAGCGCACCGCAAACGAGTTTTAATTTTTCAATTTTGTATTATTTATCGTGACTCATGCATGTGTTCAGTTGTTCTTCTTTTTTTCAACCATTGAATCCAATATAGAAATATACACTGTGTAGAATATAAAATCTGAAGAATACCTAGTTGTGAATTAAGAAAACCTAGTTGAAGATTGGAAGTTGGATCTATTATATATACACACACACACTTACGAAATCCAATCTAGTTAGTTTTCTTTACTCCTATTTGTTTATTGTCATGACTTACTGGAATTGGATACAATAAACGGGATTCACATGATTCGTTATGTGTGTGAGGGCGAGAGATATGACTATCTATTGTATTGACCTTGGTAATTTAGAGCAGAGAAAGTTTTGCTTGTGAGTGCTTTAAGACTTGTTTGAAAATACTTTTATAATGACTAAAACACTTATAGTGAAAATATTTTTGTGTTCTAAAAGCACTTGAAGTGTTTCCTATTAGAGGCAGCAATTATATGCTTCTTGCATGAAGCATTCAAGTTTTGTTTTTATTTTTTTATTTATTTTTTATTTTTAGGATTCACTTACATTTTATTTATTTATTAAGGATTGATTCCAAAAACAATTTCACAAAAACCGTTTTCAGTCATTTTAAAAACACTTCCAGAAGTGTTTCCTACTAGAAGTGGCAATTATATGCTTCTTGCATGAAGCATTCAAGTTTTTTTATTTTTTTTTTATTTTTTTAGGATTCACTTACATTTTTTTATTTATTAAGGATTGATTCCAAAAATATTTTTACAAAAACCGTTTTCAGCCATTTTAAAAACACTTCCAGGTGAGCCCTTAATAAATGATTATGAGCTGACAAAGTTGCAACTGAGTAACAATCAGAGGGGGAATGCTAGCAAGACTCCCTCAAAATGCTAGTACGGCCAAACTTTCCATTCACGTATATTTTCAGTACTTTCTCAAATAAGAGATTTTTCAATGTTTTTAGAACACGAGTTGATATACTATGCGCCATGATAAAAGTGGGAGAGGTTTTTTTTTTTTTTTTTTTTTTTTTTTTTTTCAAGTGTCCATTCACTTATATCACGACACATGATGTATTAGCCTATGTTCCAGGAACATTGAAAAATTTCTCATCAACGTTTTAGCTGGGTCCCACATTAATATTATTCAAAATAAAAGTTTTTTTTTTTTCAATTAATATCTTCCATCAGC